ACAATTTTATGCTAAAGCGTTAGCACAGGACTTCACAGACACTAGTGCAAACTTCACAAATTTTATAACTAAAATAAATTCAATAATAAACGAAACAATACCCTATAAAAAAAAAATAATTTTGAACTTCCAAATAACCCATGGTGGGACAAAGAATGTAAACAGCTTCTCACAAAAAAAAAATGCCATAAAATCTTTCAAAAACGATTTTAATCTGGAAAATTATATTAATGTCAAACGAGTTGCAGCCATAACAAAAAAGACATTTAAGGAAAAAAAAAGAAACTCATTTATTAAATTTTGTGAATCCCTAAACAGAAACGCAGATACTAGATATGTATGGAACAAATTTAAACTATTCAATCACAAAACTACTATTGTTCCTGTACTTCTAAAACACCGCCAGAGGGATGACGCCAATTTTGAATCACCCTGTATAAACTATGCCCTATATTTAGTTTTGCAAATAGCGGTTTACAATTCTTAGATTCGCATTAAATTCTGGTGTAGTTTCCAACATACCCTGTGATCTGTGTGGCCACGTGCGTTTAACTTTTAGAGATAGAAAGAAAAATGAGCAAATGGGGAAAATATTTAAGGCAACATAAAAGACAATGGGAGCAGGAAACTCTATTTTGAGGTGAGACTAATACCAACACATTGTTCATTTGGAATATAAACTACCGTCGTTCGGAGTGAAAAAGAAGTATAATTCTAAGATAAGAGTCTTCCATGTCCCCTTTATCGAATTCCATAATCAAACAAATTAACTTTTTATTCCCCCATATTTTTTTATAAAATATAATAAGATATAATAAATCATTTTGGTTTTAGACGTGGTTTTTTAAAGTTTGCTTAGGCTTAAAGTCTATATATACATAATTTTTATAAGGAGGTGTTTTTTTGACAGTATTGTATTACAAATTATGCAAACATCTGTTGTGGTTAAATACCGAAACTACCCTTTGAAATTGTTATAAACATTTTTTTTTCGGTGAAGTTTGGGAAATGCTCTTTTATGCACTCCCAGAGCTGGTGGTCTGTCGCTCTGGGTTGTGTGGGACTCCAGCTAAGCTGTTTATCCCCTAAAACTCTTTCCTCACCGCCGATGTGGTGTTTGGCCTTGCACCGCGGTCTTTCTTTTCTGTCCTATTGTGGCCTCGTAATTTTACTCCCTCATTATCCCTGTATATTCAATTAATTCCAGAAGAATCTCGAGGGGAGTTCGCATGATCTGGCCTGATAGAATTTCATCCCCTCCCAGGAGTCTTCGTCTACCTGTTGCATATGACGTGCAGTGACACATAACATGCAGAGTAGTTTCGTCCTCTAATTTGCAACCCCTACAGGTCGGTTGATCGCTCAGTCCCATCCTGAAGAGGTGTTTTTTGCAGGGGGCGTGTCCTGTTAAAAAGGCCACTATCCTCCTTATTTTTTGCCTGCTGAGACCTAGCAGTTCATTTTTACGTACTGGTTGTGGAGGTCCCACCAACTGCTTTACGGTATGGAGTCGCGGTGCCTCCTGCCAGTACTTTCTGTGTTGTTCCAAGATCCACTGCCCAACTGCCACCCTAACTTGGGCATGAGATATACCGCAAGCAGGTTCTTGGTTGGTCAGTGGTTTCTCGGTCCCTGCCTTAGCAAGTTCCGTAGCAATCTCGTTTTCTTTGTTCCTGTTCGTACCAGTTGCCCAAGTGAGTTTTACTCTGTTTGAGCTCCCGGCCAGGGTTGTAAGTTCTTTTACACAATCTAGCACACATTGTGACCTAATTGTGTACGATTCTAATGCCTTTATTGTGGCTTCATCTCCGGTTACGATGGTAATGTGCTTGCGTGTGTAGGTTCTTTCCTTCATTTTTCGGGCGAAATTTGTTATTGCTAGGATGCTTGCTTGGAAAGCTGTCGTAGTTGTACCCAGGTTTAAGGTGATCCTTTTTCCAGTTCTTCCTCTTTCGACTATACCAGCGCCTGTGCCCGACGCTGTTTTCATGCCCTTCGTGTACCATACGGAGTCCCTTGTGATGACTGATGGAGTCTCTGCACCATCTCGCCCCTCATTTAGAACATATGTTCTAAAAGGTACCGAGATGCTTAGAGTTTTGATTGTCTTCAATTTTCTGAAGATCGCACTGGGTTCCAAATCCGTCGCTTTTCTGAGGACATCGTCACCCATACGGTAAGCGCTTCTTAGGGCCTCAGCTTCAATGAATAAATGCAACGGCTCCAGCCCCAGGAGTGTCGCCAGTGCCGTGTTACGCGGTGTTGCCGCAACGTTTCAACACTGTTACGATTGTCGCCGCAGGACTTGCGACTTTGGGCGACAACGGTTACGGAAATCTGGTCCATAGAACAAGGCTTATCGAGTATCGAGCATGAAAATAAAACGATTTCTACGCGTGCATTGCGCAATACAAAAATGCCTAATTTGAACCAATAGTTAAGGCAATAAATTGCGCAAGGTATGGTTAAACGTAGCTTATAGTTTCTTTAATAAAAATAAGAACTGTTTTTATCGTTTTATTATTTCGGCAGGAAAACACTTGCAAAGTACCTATGTGAATACGAAAATGTCGGCAGTCAAGACAATCATTAATAAAGGCAGCCAATTTGAAAAAGTTAAGGCCGTAATATCAAACAAAATTCACCGTGATTACTAATACTATTAATATTCTGTGTATTAATACTATTAATATTCTAAGTATTGTTACCAACACATTAACAAACTAAATTTAAATCTACAACACTTAACTTCTAACACGTTATTGGTTGCTCAATAGATACAACAAATATATTTTGTACCAACTCATTTGATGTATCGAAGTCTAATTTAATTCATATCCTGTTAAATCCATCGTGAGCACTTGGCTGATTAAACACTCTCCAGGCTGCAAGAAAAAAAATTTGATTGAAATTAATTTAAAATTGATTTTCATTAAAATCGCAAAACATGCTAAAACACTGAAAGGTTTGATTTAATAACGGGAACTGGATGGGTGTTTTCTAAAATTGCCGATACTTTTTCATGTCTAGTTAAGGATGTGTAACTGCATTGAGTCCCAGAGGATGCCTAAATAAATACGACAAAACGTCGGCAATCGAAAAAACAGGCCTTTGCTTTTACCCCGATATTCATATTATTTGTTAAATCCAGGTTCAATTCTCTTAAAAAACCGTTTTCGGAACTATTAAAAGTCTGACAACTTACTTGCGGACAAATCCCGATCAATGCATCAGCATGAGAGTAGAATTCCTCCTTCAACGAAATAACAATGATCTGTAAGGATTCCGTTTTCTCGCAGATAAATTTCGCAACTTTTCCAATATTTGTGTTGTCTAGGGCAGCGTCTACTTCATCCAGCACGAAAAACGGTGCTGGTTGGTAGCTGTGAACGGCAAAAAGCAACGCTAGGGCTGCCACTGTTTTTTCTCCACCTGATAGATTGGACATAGGCTGAAATCGTTTTCCGGGGGCAACGCAATTGTAATTTATCCCATCCAAGTAGGGTTCTTCAGGGTTTTCGGCACCTAATTTGCAAATAAAACCGCTTTCCAATTGTGTCTCCTCAATCAGTTTTTGCTGCTACTTACCTAAAAATGCTTGAGCAGACTGATTTTGGGCTAAAGACTTGTAAATCGTATCAATCTCATTTGCCACGTGTTCGAAGCAAGCATTAAACTTCTCGTATCTAAGAAGTTTGATTTTTTCAAAAGCAGATTTGGCCCTTTTATTATTCTTCCTGAAACTCTCGAATTCCTCATTAGTAGATTGTAGTTTTCCTTGAGCGATCTCTAGTCTTTCCACCGCTCTCATATTAGGAGCCTGAATTTTCTGAAGTGTATCTTGCAAAGACTGTATTACTTTAATTAGTTTGTTTTCCCTTTTCTTGATTTCATCTTTTTCTTCTAGATCTTTTAAGTCGTCAGACAACATGCTGTAATCTATTTGGATTCTAAAAAACAACAACATAAGCATATAATTCATAAGCAAGCCTTATGCGCAACTACGGAATAATTACCTCGATTCTCTTTCGTATTGCTGCGCAGTACTGCTGGTGTCGTTTGAAGCACCGGATTGCGATTGTGTTGATTGGTCTGCAGCAGCAATATCTTCCATATTTCCCAGCAACATTGGAATTACCACGTCGTCCATCTGAAAATGCTAATTGCTGTAGATTGTTGTACAAAACATTCTAATCTAAACGCGTTACCTTGCAGTGCAAAAGGATGGTATGGCGGTCACTTTTCAGGCTTTCTATTTTGGATTCGATGGAAACTATGGCCTTCTGAATAGCTTGCATGTCTTTGTTCACTGAACCGACCTCCCTTCGGGCTTTGCCTACAAAAGAGTCAATTGTTAATGGACAAAATTCTGGCTTTACTCCCCCTTACCCAATTCTTCTTCCATCTCTTCCACCTCCTTCTTCTTGGACATTTTCTTCGCCTTGTGCTCGTCCAGGTTCTTTAATTCTTTGTCAATTTCATCTCTTTGTTTCGCTTCTTGTTTCTTGGCAGTTTCCAGTTTTTCCTCTTCGTCATTAACCGTGCGCTCCCATCGACTCACGTTGCTTTGAGTGTCGCGACTCCTCTCAAATTCCAAGTTATTTGTGATTCGATTGACTTGCATTTCAAACTCCAAGCGTTTTTGCTTGCGTTCTTCTTGGGCCCGGAGTTCACGGTCTTCGTATTGCCTGATGTTCCTCACACCTAAATAGTGCAAATAATTGTCTGTATCGTATCAGTCTCAAAAAAATACCAATTTCGCTGCAAAAGTCCGAAAACACGTCGTCTTCAACCGTATTCATTCGCAGCTTGATTTCTTCAATCTGATGCTCTCGACTCTGCATCTCTTTCTCGATTGTTTCGATTTCAGGTCCGTAAATCTTCATTTCTTCAACCACGACCTGGATTTCCTTTTCTACGGTCTGAATTTGCTTTTTCTGCAATTTTATATATATTTTGAAGTCCTTTAAAAAAATATTAAGCAATTAAGTTACAGTGTTTTCCATGTCTCCCTTGGCGTAGCGCAGCCTCGTTTCCAGACCTCGGATCTGTGAGTCGACTGTGCTCATTTCTGATTCTTTGCGCGATTTTTTCTGAGCCTCTCTTAATTCGTCGGCTAGTTTCTCCTAAGTAAACATGCGATTGTGATCAAGTGGTTACAAGTAAACCGGAATTGATAAGTTACTTTTTGCGACTTGAGCTGCGAAACATGCTTTTCGTCCCAGCGTTTGGCTTTGCGCGCCAAATCTACGCTTCCTCCTGATATAATACCTGATTTCTGATAATAGGTGCCATCAAGAGCCACGGCCTGAAGCGTAAATTAATTGTAATTAAACTGCAACTTTCCCGGATAGCAATATTGAAATGTTAGTCTTACGTCGTATCGGCCACCTCGCTCATAAGCCACGGTTCTTGCGTCTTCTGAATCTTCACACACTAAAGCATTGTTAGTGGCGAACATGACAGCATTTGCTATCTCTGGAGGGTCAAAGTGAAGAACATCGTACACTAGTTTAACCCCCTAACATTCCAATAATTAGAAATTTAAAGGTCTAGAGATCTCGAGGGTTACCTTTGGGTCAGTGATGTTCCGCAGCCGCTCCTTAACTGGTTTGGTTTGCAAGTAAGTCAACGGCAGGAACGTTTCTGGATCTAACATTTGTTCTTTTAAATATTTAATGCACTGACGCCCAGTGTGTTCGGTGTCCACAACAATGGCTTCCATGTACTTTCCGAGCACTTTGGTTATGGCTACGTTGTATCTTTTGTGGATCGGCTGACACATATTGATCATGCGATCGAACTATGCGAAGAATAGAATGGGTAAACCAACTTAGATTTGTGTGCTTATTTCTACTACTAACCACTCCAGGATAATTTGCCTTAAATCGATCAACAATTTCCTGCTTCTTCTTCCTTCTGGTGTCCTCATGCTTATCAGTTCGGGCATCGCCTAGCTGTTCCATTACATCCTCTAGTTGTCTTTGAATTTCCTGGACTCTGTCTCTGGAAGAGCCCACGTCCGACTGCAAGTCCTTCAGGAGCTTCTTCTGGTCGTGTAAAGCCTGCTCACTTGTACTAAAATTTGCAACGAATACAGTGGATATTTAACAAAGTTAACTGCCAACAAACCGAATATGCTCGGACAATTTCTCGATTCGCTTCTCCATCTCCTCCTTTTCGTGACATTTTTGCGAGTGTTTGTTTTCCGCATCAGTGCGCAGTGTGGATACATTATCAAGCCGGTCTTGATCGGCTTTCTGCTCCCTGTTTACTGAGTCTAGCTCTTGCATGTATCGGGCTGATCTTTTAGCCGCCTCTTCTTTCAAGTGGTGATATTCGCGCACCTGTTCATCTTCTAAATGGACGTCTCTTCCCTTTAAAAATATATTTTGGAAGCTAATACCGAATATAGGTAATTACTTAAAAATTTACCTGGCTTTGCGATTCGCCAGCAATCTGCTCCTCATACTCCGCCTTGGCCTTGTCAACTTCAGCAAGTTCATCTTCCAGCTTCTGGATATCGTTCATATGGGCTTCGTGGGCTTTTTTCGCCTGATCCAGAGTCTTGTAAGCGCCCTCGACCTGCGCAAAGTTACTTCCATGCAACAGTCGTTGGTCATATTGATATTGATAGGACCAACCTTTTTTTGGACGTATGTGACTTTTTCTTTAGCCTTGATAAACATGGGTCGCTTCTTGGATATTTCCACTTCAGCTTCCCGAATGTCTTGCTCGATCTTCGCTAGTTCTCTGGAAAGTACATCTTTTAGATACTGTGACTGGCTGGAAAGTGAGAAATGTGCAACCTGTTTAATTTTCCATGTTCCTTTTTCTTCTCTTTTAGAATGTCCTCTAGTTTTTCCTTTTTCTTTTCCACTTTCTCCAGCTCCTTCTGCTTGGATTTCAGTTCTTGTTCGCGGATTTTCATGGCACGCTCATTATGGAACGCCTTGAAAAGCTGATGTTCAACTAATTTTTCATTCTAGAAAATTCCAGTTTAGTTGTAAATTGCTGGACGAATAAGGCAAGGTTAATGTACCAAATCGTCTTTGAACCGGGAGTATTTGTCCGCTTCTTCCTTCTCCAATCTGGCCTCCTTGCGTTCGGCGTTGATCCCCTTTTTTCTCTGAAGGGCAAAATTCATTTCTTCTTGCGCTTTCTGCTGCTGCAGCTTGAGTTTTTCATATTCTTCCTTTAAGGCTCCAGAGCTGGAATTGGACGAGTTCGTTCAACAATGAGCACCCAATTGCCTGTTGCACTTACCCACTAATTTCCTCAAAAAGCGCAGTCATTTCCTTGGGGTTCTTCATGGCAATTGATTCTACAGCGCCCTGGAAAACCAGGAAATTTTTTGCCTTTACGTTGATTTTCAGCTTTTCCAGTTCAGCAAGGTAGTCGTTAGCTGTGACAATCTGAAAAATGGAAAACCGTTAGAACAACGCCTGCAACTCACGCCTGTGCAGCTCGGGTGGTTTGTACCTTCGAAATGTGTAGTTTCGGTTAGAGTAGGATATTTTTTGTTAGCTTCTTCATACACTTGATACAATTGATAACAAATGTTCTGTAAAGCAGATTTGCTCTTATGAATGTTGGTGGTACCTACGTTTCCATTAACTTTGAATTCGGATGATGATCCATGGACGGACCTTTGGAAGGCGATTTCTTGCTCAGGATCGCCGCCCAATGTGAAAATTGCAGTCACGGACGCGCTGAAATTCAACTATAGCATGGGGGCCCAAAAAAACAGTAAAACAACACACCTTCTTGAAACGGGCTTGCTAATAGCTGCTCCATGAATAAGGTCGCTGAGTCTTTTCACTCTTAGACTGTGAGTTTTTTCGCCCATTACAAAACTGATAGCATCCATGAAGTTGGATTTGCCTGCAATTTAATAAAACTTTTCCTCAAAGAATCATATGTTATAACGAACGAGAAGTTAAAACCACAGTTTTAAATCATATACCTGATCCGTTAGGTCCAATCACCGCATTAAACGGCTTGAGGGGGCCGATAATATGGCGCCCCTTGTACGACTTGAAGTTCTCCACCTCGATGTGTTTTAACCGCGGACCCATGACGCGGTCTGAAAGCGATAGCACGGATAACAATAACTTAATGCATGTGTAAGGAGAATTAATTAATAAAAAAAAACTCACATTTCAATGAAGTAATTAACTTAACGGAGAAATGATACTAAAACAATTTCAAAGAAAACACATCTGATATAAACACAGCATGAAGACAGGTACGTGACAGGTACGCCAAATGCCAAATCTGAAAGATTCAAAGTCATTACCACAGCGTTGCCAGGTCACGAACGACGAAAACGACATCAAAACGGTTGATGTACTATGCTGATAGCTGGTTCTACAACTGGAAAATAAAATTTGTAAAAACAGAATTTGTGACGTCACACGAGAAAGCAGTTGATTCTCATGTACAGGATTTTTCGTTATAAGTTGACATCCCCCCTAGATCTGTTATTTCACAGAAATTGTGAAAGTAGTATAAGTAATAGAAAGAAGACTAACACAAAAGTTATTTAACTTTACAGAAATTTTTGAAATCTGAATTTAAAATAAAAATATAAATCACAAGTGTCAAAATTTGGCATAAAATATATTTTTTAATGAAACATCCTATATATTTTTAGGCGGGTCGATTGGAATTTTTTCCTGATTTCAGCAATATATATTGCTTAGATTTGTATTAGCCTTTTTTTCTGTATTATGTTTAAACATTTTTAAATAGCATGTATCCTGGAATGGCCAAGGGCATCCAGCCAGCTGGAGAGGATGCCCCACGTACCCCAAGAGGAAAATTCCGGTCGTCCGCAAGGAAGACAGGAAATCAACTCCGAAAAGGACCACCCCTCGCAGCAGTACGCAGGAACAAGCAGCAGCAATGGACAGGGA